AATACCCAGCAGTGGGATTACAGATCAAATGGTAGTTCAACTTAGTTCTTTAAGGAATCATCACACTGTTTTCCACAGTGACTGTACTAGTTTACATTCTCACCAGTGTAGAAGTGTTCCCTGATCACTGCATCCATGCCAACATCTACTGTATTTTGATATTTTTTTTTATTATTATTATGGCCATTCTTGAAGGAGTAAGGTGGTATTGCATTGTAGTTTTGATTTGCATGTCCCTGATCATTAGTGATGTCAAACACTTTTTTCATAAGTTTACTGGTCATTTGTATACTTATTTTGAGAATTGTCTATTCATGTCCTTATCCCACTTTTTGGGGGGATTTTTTTTTTTTTCTTACTGATTTATTTGAGTTCGTTGTAGATTCTGGACATTAGTACTTTGCCATAGGTATAGATTAAGAAGATTTTCTCCCACTCTGTGGGTTGTCCATTTACTCCGCTGACTGCTCCTTTTGCTGTGCAAAAGTTAGTTTAATTAGGTCCTACCTATTTATCTTTGATTTTATTGCATTTGCTTTTGGGTTTTTGGTCATGAAATCCTTGCCTAAGCCAACTCCTAGAAGGGTTTTTCCAGTGTTACCTTCTAGAGTTCCAGTTTCAGGTCTTAGGTTTCAGTCTTTAATCCATTTTGAGTTGATTTTTGCATAAAGTGAGAGATAAGGATTCAGTTTCATTCTTCTACATGTGACTAGCCAACTATCCCAGCACCATTTGTTGAAAAGGGTGTCTTTCCCCACTATATGTTTCTGTTTACTTCATCAAAGATCAGTTGGCTGTAAGTATTTGGGTTTATTTCTGGGTTCTCCATTCTGTTCCATTCATCTATGTGCCTATTTTTATATGAGTACCACTCTGTTTTGGTGACTATGGCCCTAGAGTATAGTTTGAAATCAGGTAGCGTGATGGCTCCAGATTTGTTCTTTTTGCTTAGTCTTGCTTTGGCTATGTGGGCTCCTTTTTGGTTCCATATGAATTTTAAATTGTTTGTTCTAATTCTGTGAAGAATGATCGTGGTATTTTCATGGGGATTGTATTGAATTTGTAGATTGCTTTTGGCAGTATGGTCATTTTCACAATATTTATTCTATCCATCCATGAGCATGGGGTGTTTTTCCATCTGTTTGTGTCATCTATGACACATCTTTCAGCAGTGATTTGTAGTTTTCCTTGTAGAGGTGTTTTGAATCCTTTGTTAGGTATATTCCTAAGTATTTTATTTTACTTTATTTGTTTGCAGCTATTGTAAAATGGGTTGAGTTCTTGATTTGATACTCTGCTTAGTTGCTTTTGGTGTATACAAGAGCTACTGATTTGTGTACATTAGTCTTGCACTGGAAACTTTCCAGTATTCTTTTATCAGTTCTATATGCTTTCTGGAGGAGTCCTTAGGATTTTCAAGGTAAACAATCATATTGTTAGCAAACAGGGACAGTTTGACTTCTTCTTTACTGATTTGGATTCTTTACTGATTTTATTTCTTTCTCTTTTCTGATTGCTCTGGCTAGGACTTCTAGTACTATGTTGAAGAGGAGTGGTGAGAGTGGGCATCCTTGTCTTGTTCCCAGTCTCAGAGGGAATGCTTTCACCTTTTCCCCATTCAGTATTACATTGGCTGAGGGTTTGCCATAGATAGCTTTTATTATATTAAGGTATTCCCTTGTATGCTGATTTTGCTGAGAATTTTAATCATAAAGCAATGCTAGATTTTGTCAAATGCTTTTTCTGCATCTATTGAGATGATCATGTGATTTTTGTTTTTAATTCTGTTTATGTGATGTACCACATTTATTGACTTGTGTGTATTAAAACATCCCTGCATCCCTGGTATAAAACTAACGTTGTCATGGTGGATTATCTTTTTTTACATTGTTGGATTCAGTTAGCTAGTATCTTGTTAAGAATTTTAGCATTTATGTTCATTAAGGGTATAGGTCTGTAGTTTTCTTTTTTGGTTGTGTCCTTTTTTGGATTTGGTATTAGGGAGATGCTGGTTTCATAGAATGAATTAGGGAGGGTTCCTCTTTTCTCTGTCTTGCGGAATAGTGTCAAAAGGATTGGTGCCAATTCTTCTTTGAATGTCTGGTAGAATTCTGCTGTGAATCTGTGTGGTCCTAGACTTTTTTTGTTGGAAATTTTTAAATTACCATTTCAATCTTGCTGATTCTTATTGGTATGTTCAGGGTATCTAATTCTTCCTGATTTAAGTTAGGAAGGTTGTATTTTTCCAGGAATTTATCCATCTCTTCTATGTTTTCTAATTTATGTGCATAAAGGTGTTCATAGCAGCCTTGAATGATCTTTTGGGTCTTGTGTGATTTATGCTTTAAAGATATGCTGTTTTGATGTGTTTCCAGAATTTATTTCAAGATTTAGATTTCCTTTAACAGTTCTTGTAGTGGTGGCTTGGTAATGGCGAATTCTCTCAGCATTTGTTTTCTGAAAATGGCTATCTTTCCTTCATATATGATGCTTGGTTTCACTGGATACAAAATTCTTGGCTGATAATTGTTTTGTTTGAAGAGGCTGAAGATAGGGCGCTAATCCTTTCTAGTTTATAGGGTTTCTGCTGAGAAATCTGCTGTTAATCAAATAGGTTTTCCTTTATAGGTTACCTGCTGCTTCTCTCTCACAGCTCTTAAGATTCTTTCCTTTTTTTTTTTTTTTTTTTTTTGAGATGGAGTTTCACTCTTTTTGCCCAGGTTACAGTGCAACAGCATAATCTCGGCTCACCACAACCTCTACTTCTTGGATTCAAGCAATTATCCCACCTCAGCCTCCTGAGTAGCTGGGCTTACAGGTGCGTGCCACCATGCCTGGCTAATTTTTGTATTTTTAGTAGAGACGGGGTTTCACCATGTTAGTCAGGCTGGTCTCGAACTCCCGACCTCAGGTGGTCTGCCCACCTCAGCCTCCCAGAGTGTTGGGATTACATGCATGAGCCACCATGCCTGGCTTCTTTCCTTCATCTTTTTTTTTTTTTTTTTTTTTTGAGAGGGAGTCTCACTCTGTTGCCCAGGCTGGAGTGCAGTGGTGCAATCTCCACTCACTGCAAACTTCGCCTCCCAGGTTCACACCATTTTCCTGCCTCAGCCTCCCGAGTAGTGGGGACTACAGACGCCCGCCACCGCGCCGGGCTAATTTTTGTATTTTCAGTAGAGACGGGGTTTCACCGTGTTAGCCAGGGTGGCCTCAATCTCCTGACCTCGTGATCTGCCTGTCTCGGCCTCCCAAAGTAGTGGGATTACAGGCGTGAGCCACCACGCCCGGTCTTTCCTTCACCTTAACTTTGAATAACCTGATGACAATGTGCCTAGGTGTAGATCTTTTTGCGATGAATTTCCCAGGTGTTCTTTGTGCTTCTTGTGTGGGTCTCTAGGAAGACTGGGGAAGTTTTCCTCAATTATTCCCCCAAATATATTTCCAAGGTTTTTGAATTGTCTTCTTCCTCAGGAATACTGATTCTTCTTAGAATTGGTCATTTAATGTAGTCCCAGACTTCTTGGAGTCTTTGTTCATATTTTCTTTTTCTTTTTCATTTTTTTTTTCTGTATTGGATCAAGTTAGTTTGAAGACCTTGTCTTTGAGTTCTGAATTTCTTTCTTCTCTTTGTTCAATTCTATTGCTGAGATTTTCCTGAGCATTTTGCATTTCTAAAAGTGTGTTCAAAGTTTCCTGAATTTTTTATTTCTTTGTCTTTCAGTTATTTCATTGACTATTTCTCTCTTCACTTATTGTATTATGTTTTGGATTTCCTTACATTGGGCTTTGCCTTTCTCTGGTCCCTCCCTGATTAGATTAATAACTAACCCCCTGAATTCTTTTTCAGGTAAATCAGGGACTTCTTGATTTACATAAATTACTGGTGAACTAGCGTGATTTTCAGCGCGGGGTTGGGGGGGGGTGTTAACAAGCTTTCTTTTGTCATATTCCCAGAGTTGGTGTTCTGGTTCCTTCTCATTTGTGTAGGCTCTGTCTGAGGGAAGGTCTGGGGCTGAAGACTGTTGTTCGGACTTTTTTTGTCCCACGGGGTGTTCCCTTGTTGTAGTACTCTCCCCTTTTTTTGTGGATGTGATTTCCTGTGAGCCAAACTACAGTGATTGTTGTCTCTCTTCTGGGTCTAGCCACCCAGCGAGTCTACCCAGCTCCAGGCTGGTACTGGGGGTTGTCTGCAGAGTCCTGTGATATGAAATATCTATGGATCTCTCAGCTGTGGATACCAGTGTCTGTTCAGGTGGAGGGTATAAAGGACTCTGTGGGGATCTTTAGCTTTGGTGGCTTAATGGTCTATTTTGTGCTGGTTGGCCTCCTGCCAGGAGGTGGTGCTTTCCAGAAAGCATCAGCTGTAGTAGTGTGGAGAGGGACTGGTGCTGAGCGGGGCCCTAGAACTCCCAAGATTATAGGTCCTCTGTCTTCTGCTATGGGGGAGTGGGGGGAGGTTAGGGAAGGACCTTCAGGTGGGGGCGGGTCTAGGCATGTTTGAGCTCAGGCCCTCCTTGGGCAGGCCTTGCTTTGGCTGCTGTGGGGGATAGGGGTGAGATTCTCAGGTCACTGGAGTTGTGTACCTAGGTGGATTATGGCTGCCTCTGCTGAGTTATAAGGTTGTCAGGGAAGTGGGGGAAAGCCAGCAGTCACAGGCCTCACCCAGCTCTCATGCACACTGAAAGGCCACTGTCACTTCCACCGTGGCCCCTGCAACAATACCGAGTCTGTTTCCAGGAGGAAGGCAAATTGGCCTTGAATATTTGCCTGAGGTTTTCTACATCCCAGCTGCAAAGAAAAGGGCTTTAGTTCTTCCCCTGCCTGTGAAGTCTGCAAGCTGGATTCATGCCCTCCCCCAAGTTCTGGCCAGGAGGCTTCTCACCTGTTCAAATTGTTACAAAGTTCAGCAGAGAAATCCCTTTCACTGTGGACTTTTACCCCTGTAATGTTCTTGTAACAGTTCAAACTCCGAGAGCGCATCAACAGAAAACACGAGACAGTGTGGAACAACATGCTGTTTTAATGAGTACCTGGGTGCAGGCGGACTAAGGCCTAAAATGGCATCAGCCCCAAGTGAGGATGGGACAGGGGTTTTATAGTCCTCTGTAAACAGTAAGTGTCCCAGTCTGGTGTGACTGCTATCTAGTACCCAGACGACCTCTTTCTTGATCTTCAGGGGTATGTGTCTTCCAGCCAGGGTAGGTGTCTTCCAGTTGGCTCTCTTCCTGCTTCTGCTCTCTTGCTGATGCATGCTGCTGACACAAGTGGCCTTGCGTCTTGGGACTGCACCTGAGAGGAGGAGTTACTCATCCCTTCAAGCTTTCAGGCCTCAAGGAGAATCTTTCATCCTTGTCTATTTGGTTATAGAATAAAGGAAAAAGGGGTGACTTTCTCAATAACTACTTCAGGCATGACATAGGGGTTGGCATGGGCACCTTGGGAAAAGAAAATCTTAATTTTGGGGGTATTCTTGAGAAACTGGTTGGTATCCAGCATGTCGTTGTAGCAGGAGCACCGTCTGGATTGTCTGGTTACACGTCTGTGCCTGCAAGACAGTTAGGTTGAGAGGACAAGGAGATGTCAACAGGGAGAGGCATGACCTCATTTGCTGCTTCATAAATGAAAGACCATGACTGGATTAAGGAGGGGAGGTTACTCCTGAGTGGCTCAGAGTCTGATAAGGGTGGAGGCCCCAAGACGAATGTTTGATCATACATGATTTCAAAGAGACTATAAAAAGAGGGTGCTTTTGCTGTTGTGCAAAGTCTCATGAGGGCAAAAGGGAGATTTTTTTTTGTCCAGGACTGGCAGGTTTCTAGAGCCAGCTTTTTGAGTTGGGCTTTAAGGACAGAGTTAATTTTTTCAACCTTGCCTGAAGATTGAGGCCTGTAGGGTGTGTGGAGAACTTACTTTATTCTTAAGGATGTAAAAATGCCTTGGGAAATTTGACTGATGAAGGCAGGACCACTATCGGACTGGATGGATGTTGGGAGTCTGAAACGGGAAATTGTATACATGATGAGTTTATGTGATGATATTTGCACCTTCTGAAGTTGTTGGGAATGCTTCTACCTAACCGGAGAAAGTACGGACAAGGACTAGAAGATAGCGGAGTCATTTATCATGCGGCATATGAGTGAAGTCTACTTGCCAATCTTCCCCAGGTATCTGGCCCTGGGCTTGGTGGGTAGGAAAAGGCAGAGGCTGCAGGGAGTCCTGGGGTTACACTGAGGGGTAGATAGAGCAGGACTGGATAATTTCTTGAACGTGGCTGGAATGGTGAGAACAAGTGAGAATAGGGTGGAGAAGTTGCAAGAGAGGCTGGTAACCAACATGGAAAGTATTGTGGAGGCTTTGGAGATGAGGAAGGCTTTGAGAGTAAGGAAGAACAAGCACCCTTCCTTGACATAACAAGATCCTTGCTTTTGAAGGTTTTGGGCTCAGAAGTCTTCTTTTTCTTCTGAGGAGTGAAGAGGAGAGAACAAGGACAGGGATAGCAACCGGCCTTTGCAAGGTTGTAGGGCTACTTGTTTGTCTACCTGATCTGCTAGGGCATTTCCATCCAATTTAGGATTGTCTGGGGTGTGGTGGCCCCTGCGAGGAATGATGGCAACTTTCTGGGGGAGCTTGGCAGCTTGAAGGAGCTCGCTGATGAGAGAGCCACTTATGACAGGAGTATTATTTACAGTTAGGAAACCTTGTTTTTTCCAGATGGATGATTATGAGTGCACTACGTGGAATGTATAATGAGAATTTGAATGTATTGATCTGTTTTCTGGATGTTACAGTGAGAGCTCAAGTGAGGGCAATGAGTTCAGCTTTTTGGGAGGTGGTGCCTAGGAGGAGCGGATTGGCTTCAATAGTGTTGAGGGGGGCGGTGACACTATAGCATAGCCAGCATGTCGGTGTCCTTGATGTAGGAAGGAGCTGCCATCTACAAACTAAGTAAAGGAGGCATCTGGAAGGGATTTGTCTGTTAGGTTTGGAAAAGGTATAAGAAAGGTTTGAACAGTATTCACACAGAAGAGTGTGAATAAGAGTTTTGGGCGGTTGTAACTTCAGGTAAGAGCATGGCTGGGTTTCGATGGGAGCTGGTTAGCATGGTGATGTGGGGAGTTTCTATGAATAGAGCATACAGTTAGAGGAGATATGGGGCAGAGAAAAGACTTAGTACACTGCAGTGAGCTAACATGTCTTTGATGTTATGCGTTGAATAAACTGTTAGGTTGGCATGAAGAGATAGTTTTAGGCTTTTAACAGAGAGGACAGCAGCTGCCACCAATGCTCAGAGCCAGGTAGGCCATCTGATAACTGTGGCTTCAAGCTGTTTAGGGAGGTAGTAGGCAACAACCTTGGGGAGTGGGTCCCTGAGACTAGGTTAGAACACCTAGTTCAACTCCACGCCATTCATCAGTATAGAGGGAGAAAGGTTTAGTGAGGTCTGGGAGAGTGAGGATGGGGGATGAGATAAGAGCCTTTTGGAGTACATGGAAAGGTTGGATAATAGGCTGTGCAGGTTTTAAAGGCTCATGGAGAGGGCTTTTAGCAGCTTGGTATAACGGTTTGGCAAGTAGATCAAAGGAGGAAACCCAGAGCCTAAAATATTTCACTAATCCTGGAAAAGAGATAATTTCTTGCTTAGTTTGCAGAGGTGGGAGGGACTGGAGGAGGGATATGTGGTCTGTTGTGAGACCTTGGGTTCAGCGGGTAAGAGCTAGGCCTAGATAGGTGACTAGGGGGGGTGCATATTTGTGCTTTCTTAGGGGAGACCTGATACCTCCGTTCTGCCAAGAAGATTAAAAGAGAGATAGTATGTATGGGTGTTGCAGTTTCTTTGAGAGGGGCTACACAGGAGCAGATTATTAACATATTAAAGGAGAGAGGACGATTTTAGGGATAAAGTACCGAAGTCACTAGCAAAGGCTTGCCCAAAAAGATGGGAGCTGTCTCTAAAACCTTGAGATAGTACACACCAGGTGCGCTGACATGAAAGGTGGTTGTCGGAGCTTTCCCACGTAAAGGCAAAGAAGTTCTGGTAATCAGGGTGTAAAGGAATTGCAAAAAGGCATCCTTTAGGTTTAGAACAGAAAAATGAGTGGCATTGGAGGGAATTGTGGAAAGTAAAGTATATGGGTTAGGAACTACTGGGCTTACTGGGAGTAGAGCTTGGTTAATGAGACTGAGGTCCTGGATTAAGTGATAAGTTCCATCTGGTATTTTAACGGGTAGAACTGGTGTGTTAAAAGGAGAGTTTGTTGGGCTGAATAGGTGACTGGTGAGGAGGAGAGAAATGATATGCTTTAGGCCTTTGAGAGTTGCTTGGGGGATGGGATACTGCTTCTGTGATAGGAACTGAGTGGACTTCTTAAGGGTGGTGTGGATGGGAGTGTGGTGTTCTGTGACTGAGGGTGTAGAAGTATCTCAAAAAGTGGGGTTAACTACAGATGGGGGATAAGGAAAAGTTGAATGTTTTAGGGTGGGAAGTCGGAGGAGTAGAAAAAAGTTAGAAGACTTGGAGGGGTCTGGGTTGATGTGTTGGGTACTATGGGGAATGTGGAAGTGGAGAGCAGTGTGGAGTTTTGAAAAGTTGTCTCTGCCTAGGAGCATAGTTGGGCATGAGGGCAAGACTAAGAAAGAGTGACCGAAGGAAAAGTTGTGCAAGGAGCAGAAAAGTGGAGGGGGGGCTTGGAGTTTGGAGACTTGTCCATTGATTCCCACAACAGACACTTGGGAGGACTGGCTGGGTCCTGAAAATTTAGGTAAAACAGAATAAGTTGCCCTGATATTAATTTTCAAAAAACATACTGGCCTACCTGCCACCATCAGGGTTACCCTTGGCTCAGATGAAGCAATGGTAGTTGCTGGGGCGTCTGTTCCAGGTCACTGTCCGTCTTCAGCAGCAAGGACGATGAGATCGGAGAAGGAGGTTTTGGCCGGCTGGGGCAGGCAAGGGGGCGGTCCTTGCTGGGGCTCCTTACAGTCTGACTTCCAGTGGGGTCCTCTGCAGAGGGGGCACGGCCTGGTGGGCTTACCTGGGTTTGGGCATTGCCCAGACCAGTGGCCTTCATTGCCGCACTTGATAATAGGCACTAGGTGGAGGTGGATTGCTAGGAGGCCTCTGTGTGGAGCTGCAGCCCCATGGGCCTACAGGGCCCCTGATGGTGGAGGCAAGCATTTGAAACTGTCCTTTTTTTTCTCTCTCTCTTTTACTTTCCTCATCACAACTATTAAAGGCTTTGAAGGCTAAATTAAGAAGGTTTCATTGTGGGGTTTGAGAGCCGTAGTCAAGCTTCTGAAGCTTGCGCCAAATGTCAGGGGTAGATTGGTTGAGGAAGCAAAGGTTTAAAATAGTGGTTCCTTTGGGGCTGGCTGGGTCTAGGTTGGTATATTTTCTCATGACTTCAGTTAAACAGAAGAGAAAAAGGGTTGGGTTTTTGTCAGCACCTTCGGTGATTTCTGAAAGTTTTTCATAGTCTACGACTTTATGGGAACCCTTTTTGAGTCCTGAAAGGAGACACACAATCATGTGGTCTTGATGGCAGTGTCCAGAGGCCCTGTCTTGACAATCCTGGTGGGATTCCTGGTTCAGGACTGCCTCTGTGCCAGTAGGCTGGGCAGGAGCTTGGTGATGAATTGTATTAGCATACACCTGAGCTAGGGTCCAAATATGGACCCGGTCTTCTGGGGTGAGGGTGAAAGAGAGGATAAGTAGAGGTCGTGCCAGGTTAGTTCATAAGACTGTATAAGGTACTGAAACTCCCTAATATAAGAGGTAAGGTCTTCTGAAAATGAACTGAGTCTTTTGTTAATTTGAGAGAGATCAGTGAGGAAGAAGGGAACATGAATTCTAACAATACCTTCAGTTCCTGCTACTTCCTGAAGTGGGGAACCTAGCACCAGCGCTGAAGTATGGGTGGTGCATGGGCCAAAGATGGTGCCTACGCTGGTGTGGGCAGGAGAGAAGGAAGAAGCCAGAAGGGGTTCCTGCTGAGGGTTTGAAGGGGAAAGGGGGGTTGAGTTGATAGGCAGTGGAGGACAGATAGGGATGTAAGGTGACTTGATGGGTTTACGAGCTTCAGGAGAGGGCAGTGAGGAAGGAGAATGAGTACAAGCAATGCTAGAGTTGTCCTGAGGAGAGGACGGTGTAGGAAAAGAAGTGGCTAATTTTGGAGGTGATGTCAGCTGGGAAGATGATGGCTGAGAAGACAACGAGGAGGCTTGGGGAGTTCATGAAGATGGTAGAGATGGAGGGGTAGGGGCTGGGAGGGGTGGACAGCAGTCAGCTGGATCCAATGAGGAAAAGAGGTAGGGTCAGGAGGAGAAAGGTGATGAGGGAGATGAGAATGGAGAAGGATTTGAACAGGTAAGCAAGAATTGCAGAGGTCAGTTTGTGATCTGAGTGCAAAAAGTCCTGGACACAAGGAATTTCTCTCCATTTTTTCCAGTGGCTGGCAATAACTGCTTAAGTCAGTTGAAATTGTAAAGTAGAATGATCTATTTGTGGGCCATCTGGACTCGTTATCTAATCTAATTCACAGTCTGACCAGGCTTTATTGTATAAAAAAGATAAGGCACTTAGGGCGGACGTCTTGCCTGAGGTCTAAAGTTTGCAGATTTTTTATAAGGCAACCTGGAAGGCTGTTTTTTGGAATGGAGGACCAGGAGTTTTCCATATCAAAGAGTAGGCTCAGGAGAACAGGGAAAAGGAGACCGTCCTGGACAGCTGGAAGGAGACGATAAAAGGAGTTATCATCACCGCTGCCTTTTTGGTTCCCGGAAAGGGATCAAATGGCTTAGTGGCATCCCCCTAAGACCAGATGATCAGTGAGTGCCTGGCACGTGCTGGAACCTTGTTGGATCAATGCTGGATTTTTGGACCAGAGAAACTAAGAGAGGCCATGCAGATTTTCCCCTGTTAACTGGGCTCCCAGGGAAACTTACCAGTAGGCGAGATCAGTGACCAATGTGCATGCACAGAGAGGTAACTGGAGGCTGAGGAGCTTCCTTTGTCTGGTTGCTGTGGCCTGCTCTCTGGGGAGAATGGGTAGGTCTGTGAGCAACACAGACCTGAGACCCTCCCGGGTTTTCCCACCAGATGTAAGGTTCTTGAATCGATTTGAACCCCCAGAGTGCACCAACAGACAACATGCGGCTGTGTGGAGCAATATGCAGCTTTAATGAGTGCCTGGGTGCAGGTGGGCTCAGGCCTAAAATGGCATCAGTCCCAAGTGAGTATGGGACAGGGGTTTTACAGTCCTCTGTAAACAGTAAGTGTCCCACTCTGACGTGATTACTATGTAGTACCTGGACAGCCTCTTTCTTGATCTTCAGGGGTACATGTCTTCCAGCCAGGGTAAGTGTCTTCTGGCCGGCTCCCTTCCTGCTTCTATCTTGCTGACACATGCTGCTGATGCAAGTGGTTTTGTGTCTCGGGACTGGGCCTAAGAAGGGAGGAGTTACTCATCCCTTCAGGCTTTCAGGCTCTGAGGAGAATCCTTGAACCCCCTGCTCCACTGGTCACCCTCATGATGGATTCCTGCGGCGTCAGGCAGGAATGAGCCACTTGGGTATCCAGAGAGCTCCTAGTGGCTTTCTGCTACTTCCTCTACCCCTGTATTTTGCTTGGCTTGGTTCTCTAACTTGACTCAGCTCCAGGTAAAGTCAGGAACTTCTCCCACAAACAGACCTTCAGCTTCTCCAGTGGGGATGCGTATTCGGGAGAGGGGGCTATCCCTTTGACACTTCCATTGTTGGGGCACTCACAGTATTTAGTATGTCTCCCAGGGCCTGCAGGAGCAGTACACTTACTGCAGGGGGTCTGTGGGTCCTCTCAGAATTGCTGGTCTGTTCTTGCAGTTGATCTGCAGCTAAAATTCACAGTGCAAGCCTCCACATGCTGCTCTGTCTAGAGCTGAAATTTCATCCCATCGGCCATGTTCCCTGGAAAATCCTCATTTATTTTTTGAAAGGTAGAGAAAATGCTAATCTATAGAGATAGAAATTAGATTAGTGGTTGCCTAGGGTAGGATGGATGCAAAATTTCAGAGTGGGGGGTTAAAGGCTATTGTATATAATTTTTTGGAGGTAATACTGATTGTTTTAGTGGATGTAAAATTCTGTGAATATACTAGGAAACACTGAACTGTACACACTAATTGGTGAATCATATGGTATATGAATTATATATCAACAAAGTTTTAGAAGACATTCCTTGTACCATGATATTAAAAATGCTGTTTGTGTTGTATAATTACTTCATCTCTCTGCGTGCAGGGCATTGAAGTCGCAGGAGCCTCTCATTTGCCACTGTTCTTAACAGCATTATAAAATAATTACATAAGAGAGATTACTTACATATTACATATGCTGGGTCATAAAAGTTATTGTTTGACTAGAGTAGTTGTAAACACAAAAGAACACCTAACATACTAAAATAAATATGAGGTCATCTATCTTTTGTTTGTCTCCTTGGCATGCACCTATTCAGACTGTTAATATTATGTGTTTATTTTTAACTTTAGCAGTTATATTTTAACTTGATTGATTTATCCTCAGATTTAAGTATGAGAAATGACAGAAAGAAACAGCAACTGGAAAAGAAGGATTGCATGAGACCAGGATGTCTCTGAAATGGACGTCAGTCTTTCTGCTGTTACAACTCAGTTGTTATTTTAGCTCTGGGAGTTGTGGAAAGGTGCTGGTGTGGCCCACAGAATACAGCCATTGGATAAATATGAAGACAATCCTGGAAGAGCTTGTTCGGAGACGTCATGAGGTGACTGTGTTGACATCCTCGGCTTCTACTTTTGTCAATGACAGTAAATCATCTGCTATTAAATTTGAAGTTTATCCTACATCTTTAACTAAAAATGATATGGAAGATTCTCTTATGAAACTGCTAGATATTTGGACATATAGTATTTCAAACAGCACATTTTTGTCGTATTTTTCCAAACTACAAGAATTGTGTTGGGAATATTATTACTATAGTGAAAAGCTCTGTAAAGATGCAGTTTTGAACAAGAAACTTATGACAAAACTAAAAGAGACAAAGTTTGATGTCATTCTGGCAGATGCCCTTAATCCCTGTGGGGAGCTACTGGCTGAGCTATTTAACATACCCTTTGTGTACAGCCTCCGCTTCACTGTTGGCTACACATTTGAGAAGAATGGTGGAGGATTTCTGTTCCCTCCTTCCTATGTACCTGTTGTTATGTCAGAATTAAGTGATCAAATGACTTTCACAGAGAGGATAAAAAATATGATACATAAGCTTTATTTTGACTTTTGGTTTCAAATACATGATATAAAGAAGTGGGACCAGTTTTACAGCGAAGTTCTAGGTAAGTCATGTGTCCAATTAGTGCTTATTAAGTCCTAACTTTTCTGTGCCTTTGAAGGTGAGCTTATACAAATACTATGTCAGAAGATAGTGTTTTTAAGGGAAATTACAAATTGCAAATGTAAGATGATCTATCAATCTCAAAAATATTATAGAATGTTGACCTTATAGAATCAATTAGAACCCTGGGACCATCACTACTACAGGACACCCAAAGAATCATAAACCTTCAATGTAAAGCGCTTATGATTTCATCACATATCATTTTGCTATACATTTTTTCATCTTTAAAAAAAAGTCAATAGATACCTCAAAAAAATCTTCCTGAAGGCAGACATATAAATTTAGTATTTACACATATTTCTAGAAAAATTAGCAATGCAGGATTGAGGAATTTGTTTCTATTTGAGTACCTCAGTTTTCTCATTTAGAAATTAAAATTTTTTCACATAACAAGAATTCCTTCACAGTTGAGAAATATAGTGACTCTACTCCAGAAACAGAAGCCTAAAACTTGAGATTTCTAATGTTTATACATTCCTTCACTAACAGCTTGACAATTATTTCTTTCAAAATCTGAAATCTTGTTGAAAGCGAACATCTAAGTTTCAATCTGTATTTTATTAAACTGCATCTCTCCATCAAACAAAATATAGGCCAAGTTAAGGAAGAGCACATATCTCTGTGTCGATAAATTCTGAAAAATTTTTAGTTCTTATTTGTAAATATATTTATTTTAAAAATCTAATTATAATAAGATCTTAAGATGAACCAAGATGTAGTAGTATGAAGATTTCAGTGTTACTCTAAAAAATCTCATGGTTTACTTGGAGAACCAAGGATAAAGGAACTAGCTTAATAAATTGTAGAGACTAGAGTACTTCCTGGAAAGCTGTTTTCATGGGTAAGATGAATTAATTGTGGAACTGAAAGAGTTATCTAAATGTATATTTGTTACTATTGCAGCTTCAGAAAGAAGACAAATGTGTATTTAAGTTCATAGTGGCTACATTAGTCCATTCTCACAGTGCTATAAAGAAATACCTGAGACTGGGTAATTTATAAAGAAAAGAAGTTTAATAGATTCATGGTTCCACATGGCTGGGATGCCTCAGGAAACTGAGAATCATGGTGAAAGGCTAAGGGTAAGCAAGCTTGGATCTTCTCACTTAGCGGCAAGAGAGAGAGGTGCAAGCAGGGGAAATGCCAGACACTTATAAAACTATCAGATCTCATGAGAACTCATTCAATATCATGAAAACAACATGGAGGAATTCACCCCATTATCCCATCAGCTGCCATTTGGTCCCTCCCTGGACACATGGGAATTTGGGGATTATAATTCAAGATGAGAGGATATTTGCGTGGGGACAGCCAAACCACATTAATGACTTATTTTAATAATTATTTATGATTGTGAATATACTGATGTTACATTAAAGATGTAAAATATACTGATGTTACATTAAAGATGTAAGAAGATTCAGAGATCTTCTTACAGATCTCTGAATACTTTGCCTTCCTTGTATATGCATATGAGCAACATATGCAATACATAAAAATTAAATTATGACTATATATAAATGTATGTATATATATTTTATCAATGCACAGACATTTTATATATCTTTTGGTGTGTCATTCCAAGTCCTTTCAGGAAAATACCTGCATATTCAAATAACAATTCTTGTGTTAGCTACCTTTTGTTTTGTTTTGTTTTTTCCATTAGGAAGACCCACTACATTATTTGAGACAATGAGGAAAGCTGAAATGTGGCTCATTCGAACCTATTGGGATTTTGAATTTCCTCGCCCATTCTTACCAAATGTTGATTTTGTTGGAGGACTTCACTGTAAACCAGCCAAACCCCTGCCTAAGGTAATGTATTCCTGTTTGATTTGTTTGCTTGACATTTTCAGAAGGAATGGCAGGATATTTTTCATTCAGACTGTTTAACTCAGAGTGAGGGGGAATATGGGAGGCCAAAAAAAAAGGACTGGCCATTAGAAAATTATATATCTGTACACTATCACAAGTATGTGAATGTTATTATCATTAAAGACTGAAGAGGATTACTAGAGAGATTTTGAAAAAAGGGTTGGTTAAAAATGCCTATAGGCATTTCCTTTATGATATATTCACATGAAACTGTACAGAGAATAAATCATGATGGTAAGATTCAATATTAGTAGCAAATATTCACTTAAAAATCTCTGGAAATAATTCAAATATCTTATATTAAGAAATGGTTAAAAACTTACACAATGTGCATGCCATGCTATCACAATCCTTCTTTCAAAAAAATGTTTAATTACACTGTCAACCATAGTACAGGTATAGTTGGAAACTAAGAAACAAAATGATGAGTAGAACAAGATCACAACTTTTTGTAAGATGAAAAGGCATATGCAATGAGATTAAAATTTTCTAAATAAGCAT